CCAATCGCATGCCCATACATGAGGATCAGCGCATATAGCTGTAACACCCCTGATTTTCAAGACATTTAAAACTTATAAAATAAAGGTATTATCTCATTAAATCCCAAAACATAATACAAGTGTACGGGGTGCTATGCCACACCTGAGCTGGAGAACCCAGGTGCACAGGCTAACTAACTAATATCCTCAATAATGTAAATGCATAATATGGCACGCAGGCCGAAAGGGAACTAACTACTTCTATGTTCCGAGTACTAGCGCTCTCCAGTGACTTATTCTTCTGTGCCTGAAAGCCAAATATATCTGTTCAGCGAGAGATGCTGGTAACCCACTCCAACGCGTTGAAATACAATACATATAGCAATATATATATAGATATACGAAAACCATTTTGAGCATGAGAATATATCCTACGAACTCTAGCATTAAAACCGGGAATGACTCGACAGATAAGGTCAGACACAAGCAACAGTTATAACGAGCATATGCAGTTCACAACAGATAAGGCAGGTAAGGCAGAGCATAAACAATGATCATAACCCAACATGAACAATCTCCAATATAAATCCCATAGTCACATCCCCCAAGACACTCATAATCACAACTCGTCCATATCACAACACATAACGCACGTTGTTAGCGCCACAGGACCACTCGCATGCCCATACATGCGGGTCAGCGCATATAGCTCTGACACGGCCCCACAGCACCATGCCCCGTATCGCAACACGGGGAGGCCGATCGCAACCGACCGATGAACCGCAGCTCATCATAATGTTTGATCGCAACCAAACAGTGGACCGCAGCCCAAGAGAGTGTGTTATCTGACTGTAGCCAGGAATTCCCATCTGACTACAGCCAGCCTCTGAACCGCAGCTTAGGAAAGATGTCACCTGATTGCAGCCAGGAATTCCCATCTGACTACAACCAGCTTCTGGACCGCAGCCCAGGATACCGTCATCCGACTACAGCCAGGAATTCCCATCTGACCATAGCCGGCTTCTGAACCGCAGCTCAGGATAACCAATCCGATCGCAACCGAATTGGGGTAACACACACACATAACACATAGCAAGCACATGCAACCCACATTACACATTGGAAAGGGGGATAAAGCGTATAACAACCTTATGCGTGATCCATCACGTACTAAGAATAGTCCTAAGGGGTTCATACTTCTTCCACCTAGGTCAACGGGATACCAATTCAACTAGCATGCAATATAATAGACTTATAAACCTACGAACGGTACCCGAAATATCAAACTAGACATAGGCACGACAGACGGGGTCCGTTGGGACACCACGGGGATCGGGGAAACATCAAACGGGGAAGCCGGGGTCCCGAGGGGGGGGGAAGATTCCAGCGGGTAGCCGGTGGGTGGGGGGTCCCCTACCCCCCACCTACCCCCCGCTGCCCGCTGCCGGAGCTGCCCGAATTGCCGCGGGTAGGTGGCGGGTCCCCTACCCCCCACTGACTCTTTTCACCACTTTTCGTCCCGGGAACCATTGTGGAACCCGAAACCATGCTTAGACACTTTTCAACGCAATTAACGACAACACGTGGACAATTAACGGATCAAATACGATAAACGAACGGCACATAACCTATCATGCTTTTCTAATCATAATCAACACCCAAACATGCGATTTCCCCACCCGATAACCCAAGAATAATAACATACGATACAACCTAGGGTTCTAATTACTTTTATATCAACAAGAATACGATTCACCTTCTAATTGCAAGATTCGGTAAGAATAACACATAAACATCAAGGATGCCAATTAGTCATCAAGAACATCATAATCATCAAGAACAACACATAATCATCAAGGATCCTGAATTAATCATCGAGAATATCATCATTATCAAGAAACTCCCAATTATCAAGATTATAAAGATTCCCCATGGAATCGTCAAATCAACATCAATAATAATCACCATAATTTCGCCATTCACAATAATATGGGGGAAACCCTAAGGGGAAATCATAACTATGAAGATAGGTTTTGTTGAGACATGGGTTACCTCTTAGCCTTAATTAATTCCTTGGCTATGAAGGATCTTTCTTTACGCTTTCTTGCTTTCTTGATTTCTCCTAAGGGAATTCTTGGAGCTCTCCTGGGGTGATGGGGCGTCTAGGCGTGTGGGAGGGGGTTCTAGGTGCTCCCTAAGTTCCCTATTTATAGATCCAAGGGTTTATTTAGAGTTTATTCCTATTGGGTTTAGGGGTTGGGTTTCTATAATTGGGCCCATGGGCTATGGTGGCCTTTTTCCCTAATTAACCATTATAATTTATTCTTTCTCCTAGGTTATTAATTAATCAGTTGGTTTTAGGATCCGTAACACGGGGTATTACAATAGCTCTGACACGGCCCCGCAGCACCCTGCCCCGTATCGCAACACGGAGGGGTCGATCGCAACCGACCGATGAACCGCAGCTCATTACAGTGTTTGATCGCAACCAAACAGTGGACCGCAGCCCAAGAGAATGTCATCTGACCGCAGCCAGGAAAAAGAACGAACCGCAGCTCGTATAGAAACGTTTGATCGCAACCAAACGGTGGACCGCAGCCCAAGACTATCAATCTGACCGCAGCCAGCTTCTGAACCGCAGCTCAGGATAACCAATCCGATCACAACCGAATTGGGGTAACACCCACACAAAACACATAGCAAGCACATGCAACCCACATTACACATTAGGAAGGGGGAGAAACGTATAACAAAACCTATGCGTGATCCATCGCATACTAAGAATAGTCCTAAGGGGTTCATACTTCTTCCACCTAGGTCAACGGGCTACCAATTCAACTAGCATGCAATATAATAGACTCATAAACCTACGAACGGTACCCGAAACATCAAACTAGACATAGGCAAGATAAACGGAGTCCGTTGGGACACCACGGGGAACGGGGAACATCAAACGGGGAAGCCGGGGTCCCGGGTGGGACGACTTTCCAGCGGGTAGCCGGTGGGTGGTGGGCCACCCGCCGGCTGCCCGCCGGTTTCTACTGTTCTGGGCAGCGGGTCGCCGGCGGGCAGCTGCCCGCTCGCCGGCCACCCGCTGCCAGGCGGTGGTTTACGGCTATGGTAGGTGGCGGGTCCCCTACCCCCCACTGACTCTTTTCACACACTTTACGCCCCGGGAACCGTTATGGAACCCGAAACCATGCTTAGACACTTTACAACACAATTAACGACAACCCGTAGACAATTAACGAATCAAATACGAGGAACGAACGGCACATAACCTATCATGCTTTTCTAAGTATAATCAACACCCAAACATGCGATTTCCCCACCCGATAATTCAAGAATAAGATCATACGATACAACCTAGGGTTCTAATCACTTTTATATCAACAAGAATACGGTTCGTCTTCTAATTGCAAGATTCGGTAAGAATAACACATAATCATCAAGATCATCACCCAATTATCAAGAACAACACATAATCATCAGGAACTCCATATAATCATCAAGAATATCATAATTATCAAGAATCTCTCAATATCAAGATTATCAAGGTCCCCCATGGGATCATCACATCAATCATCAACAATAATCATCACAAGTCATTAATACACAATAATATGGGGAAACCCTAAGGGGGAAATCATAGCTATGAAAATAGGTTTTGTTGAGACATGGGTTACCTCTTAGCCTTAATTAATTCCTTGGCTATGAAGGATCTTTCTTTAAGCTTTCTTGCTTTCTTGATTTCTTCTAAGGGAATTCTTGGAGCTCTCCTGGGGTGGTGGGGCGTCTAGGCGTGTGGGGGTTCTAGGTGCTCCCTAAGTTCTCTATTTATAGATCCAAGGGTTTATTTAGAGTTTAATCCTATTGGGTTTAGGGGTTGGGTTTATATATTTGGGCCCATGGGCTACGGTGGCCTTTTTCCCTAATTAATCATTATAATTTATTCTTTCTCCTGGGCTATTAATTAATTAATTAATCAATTAGTTTTAGGATTCGTAACACGGGGTGTTACAGATAAAAATAGTGATGAATTAGAAGCTATCTATGAGAGCTTAGCTACTAATTCTCGACAAAAGGCAGTGAGAGATCAAAGAGCTGCTGCGCACGAAATTAGCACACAATCTAAGTTGACAACACAAATGGTTGAATTGACTAGACATATTAACTTGTTGATGACTCGTGATAGTTCGAATAGAGAATTTTGAGCTTTTTGCAATACATATGGTCATAATTCTTCTATTTGTATGAATGCAGAGTTATCACAACCATCTTATGAGGAAGCTAATTACATGGGATCCAACATGGGTAGGCAACAACCAAGAAATAATCCATTTTCCCATACATATAATCCAGGTTGGCGAAATCACCCTAACTTCTCGTGGAGAGATCAAGGTAATGCAAGACCAATGGGACCACCCGGATTCCAGCAACAAGGACCATTAGGATTCCAGCATCAGCAATATAGACCTTTCCAGCAGCCACCTGCACTACAATAACCTCAACTTCCTGCTTAGGATAAGAAGCCTCAATTGGAGGAGATGTTCATGCAATACATGGCTAGCCAGGACACTATGATGAAGAAAATGGATGCAAAAATTGATAAGTTTGCTCAGTCCAACCAAGCATCCATTCATAATTTAGAGGTGCAAGTAGGTCAGTAGGCTAAATTGGTTGCAGAAAAAGATCGAGGTAAGTTTCTTAGTACCGCTGAAATAAACCCTACAGAAGGAGCTATGGCTGTCACCTTGAGAAGTGGTATGATATTGAATGAAATTATGAAAGAAAATGAACCCATGAGGGTTGAAAAAGAGAGTGATAAAGAAGAGGAACAAGTGCCTAAAGAGAACTCTAGTGATCAAAACCTCACTTCCTCTACAGTAAAACCTTATGTACCCCCCATTCCATATCCACAAAGGTTACAAAAGAGGAACCAAGATAATAAATTTAAAAGATTTTTAGAGGTTTTTAAAAAATTGCAAATTAATATCCCTTTTGCATAAGCACTCGCTAATATGCCATCTTATGCCAAGTACATTAAGGAAATTGTGTCTAATAAAAAGAAACTAGAAGAATTTGCTACTGTGCATTTAAATGAGTGTAGTGCTATTTTGCAAAGCAAATTACCTCCTAAGCTAATGGATCCAAGAAGTTTTTCTATTCCTTACACTATTGGTAATACTGTCATTGATAAATGCATATGTGATCTAGGTGCCAGTATTAACCTTATGCCTTTAACTCTTTTCAATAAGTTGGAAATAGCTGAAATGAAGCCAACAACAATCTCCCTTCAACTTGCTGATAGATCAGTCAAGTACCCGCTTGGAGTAGTGGAGGATATCTTGGTAAAAGTTGGTAAATTTTATTTTCCAGCTGATTTTCTGATTCTTGATATGGGTAGTGACACAGACACATCTCTTATACTTGGTAGGCCATTTTTGTTGACAGGGGGAGTATTAATTGATATGCCTTTAGGAAAACTGATTTTTAGAGTATGAACAGAAAAAGAGGAATTCTCTATCTCTAAAGTTGTAAAATTACCAACTTTTGATGAATCATGTCTTTTTGTTGATGTTATTGAGAAACATTCAGAAGAATTTTTTAAGCATTCACCTAGTGAAACACCAATCAACTTGAACTTAAACCACCTTCATTGCTGTTCAAATACGAATTTTTGAGTAACAATGATATTTTTCTTATATTTTCTTATGATCATTTACTTCATGCAAAAGAAGAGGGATTGTGGAGAACATTGACTAAACCTTGGCATGACAAAAATAATTTTTGGAGAGAATTCAATGTAGGGCAAGAAGTTTTGTTGTCTAATTCTTGTCTTAAGATTTTTCTAGAGAAATTGAAGTCTATATGGTTTTGTCCTTTCATGGTCACTAAAGTTTGTTCGTATGAGGCCATAGAGATTGAAAGAGGGAAAAAGAGACCATTCATGGTTGCTTCACCAAAAGGCAGCCCCGGAAGAAATTGGCAACTAACATGGAAGTTTCCTGTTTATTTCATTTTCTCATACTTGCTTTTATATTTAACATTGAGGACAATGTTGAGTTTGAGTGTGGGGAAGGGAAAGTAAGATTAGGGGATGTTTTCTGCAAGTTTTATGCAAAATAGGCAATATAAAAAAAATTATGCATTTTTCATGCAATTTTCTGCAACATTTTCTCTATTTTTCTGCATTTTGCTACAGTAAAATTCTACAATTTTCTTTCTACATTTTCTGCATTTGATGGGATTTTCAGCATCATTTTTTTTTTCATTTTCTGCAATTTTTCAGCAAAATAAAGTTTTAAAAATGCCTTATAATGACTATGTTGATTAGGAGATAAGTTCTAGAGTTTTGGGAGTGCATAATATCAATGAATGTGGTTGGCTATATATATGCTTGCATGGAGTTGGTAGTCAAATTCTATCACATCGTGAGCTTTTGAGCCTAGAGGTTGCACACTGCAACTTATTTTCATTTTGAGTGTTTATTTGCCTTCTTTGATTGTGTTACTTCTAGAACTTGCTTCATACCACTTCATAGCTATATGTTATATGATGACACGAGAATGATTAAGGCATTAGGATTTAGCCTTATAGCCTTTAAAATGACCACATCCTTATACATGTTAATTTTCCCCTACTGAACCATTTTGAGCTTTATAATAAATATAAGACATTTTTCTTCATTAGCCAGTTCCAAAGAGCCTTAGCTCATAAAAAGAATCCTCTTAACCCGTCCTTGAGTCAATGGATATCATTATTTCGTTTATCTGTGCAAGATGAACAAAAGTGATGAAGTGTGAATGAGTTTGGAGTTGAAAGGTGATTCTACAATTGGTTTTCTTTGGGTGAGGAATTGTTTGTGATTAAAGGGGGTGAAAATGAAAAAAAAAAAAAAAAAAAAAAAAAAAAAAAAAAAAAAGAATAAAATGATATGTCCTAATTTGTGGGTTGAAAAATCTTTGATTGCCTAAACTTTTGTGCTCATTTTATTCTTAAAATGATTTATGAGCAATGAAGGCATGATAGAAATTTGATGATTATGGGAAGAGTACTATTGAGGGTGCTGTGGAAACGATGAGCTATCTATTCGGTTTTACTAGAAAAAAAAAAGGAAAAAAAACCAAGAAAAAAATGAAAAAAAAAATGAGTGATGGCTTGTTTTGGTAGAGTTCATTGCATTGGTAGAATACAGTTTCTTACTCTTGATATGGTGAAATTATGGCTCTACTGATTCCTTGGACTTTCTTTGTATTTCCTTATATCCTTTCTTTCATAAACCACATACCCTTGGCCCCATTACAACCCAGAAATAAAGACCTTTTGACTCGTGTTCTTCATATAATTTTGGTAGCGGAGTTTTGGTGGACAAGCAAGCCTATGGCAAGTGCACTCTCAATAGAGGATGATGTGTACCTTTCTTATACATATATTTGTGAGAGATTGAGTGAACAACTGTGAGGACTACTATTCTCTATTGTCTTGTGTGTGTATGACTTTGAACTCTCATGAAGTATTATGTGTTTACCATCTCCTTGAATTGAATGCCTAGTTGACATGGTTATGGTTGATAGTTTGATTTCATTGCATAAGTGTTGGTCCCAAAAGAGGTAAGGTGAAAGTCTAGAGGGGGGGGGGGGGGGGTGAATAGACTTTCAAACTTTTTGCACAATATAACAATTGGTAAGCCAGAGATAAACCAAAACTCTTAACTAGATTGTTAGAGTATGGAACGCAGCGGAAATAAATAAACGATACGGTGTGTGTGTAGATCGTGTCAAGATTATTTTCATGAGAAGCAAGCAAGAGCAGTAAGTAAAGAAAGCAGTAAAGAACACAAGGCAATTAATAGTGGTTCGCGAGGTGATGTAATCCTCCTACTCCACTTGCTCTTTTCTCCAAGAGCCAATTCTCTATATCCACCACTTCTTGGTTCTAAGATACAATGAATTCCGTGATCTAGTGCTTTGATCACCAAGCCCACACTAATCACGCCCAGTGCCTCCAACACTGCTGCTTCGGGTTTCACGTCGCCGCGTTACTTTCCCAGGATTTCACGACTCCGCGTTACTTTCCCCCCGTCTTCTACGATCCGGTAGAAACGTATCTTCCGTGATCTGGTGCTTTGATCACCAAGCCCACACCAATCACGCCCAATGTCCTCCGACACTGCTGCTTCGGATCTCACAGCTCCGTGTGACAATCCAGGATTTCACAACTCCGTGTTACTTTCCTCCTTTCCCTTGTTTTGCTCCAAAACAAGTTTTGCTTTAATTCCAACTTTGAGACTCTGTAGATGATCTTCAATGGTGTGCTGAGTCTCTTGAAGTTGATGAAGATTTTAACACTCTTGGATATTTCTTTTCTAAGCTCTGTATCACTCTGAGTGTTTATCTCACAAAAGATATATCAATTTAAGCTCCTGAGATGGAAAGCTTTCTTTGAATTTTGTATGCTCTGTTTAGCTCTGTATTCTTGCTTCTTGCTATTTGCTTCTTTTTCACCCCTGCTTCCAAAGCTTCAATCTTCATCCTTTTATAGCTGGTAATGAGAATCCGTCCGTTGGAAAGAAACGGTCTCATTTTCGAATTTCATCCAGTTGTATAGCCTTTTGTCAGAGGATAAGATAACGTTGCAGATCTTGTCAGATATTTCAAATTGAGCTTGAGGTTTCAGCAAAAATGGCGTCCCATGAATCTCCATCTGGTGTAGATCACGCCTCTTGGGATTTTTATATTCAAAATATATTCTCCAATATAATCCCTTACTAGTTAGACTAGTATTTTTGCTCCTGCAACTTCTTCTAATATCTTCCTCTGTTTTTCATGTATCTGGGTCTGTATACTGCTTCCAGACTTCATCTCTTCAATTGACTTGGAAATCTCTTCCCTTGTGAAACTTCATCCCTTTCTATTTTGGGAAATGAAATCTCTATCCCTTGCTAGATTTGTCAATTGAATTCTCATCCCTTACTTGATTTGGAATTGCAATCTCATCCCTTGCAATCTATATCTCCAATTGAATTGAAGCCCCTGTAGATCTCATCCCTTCAAATTGAAATTGCCTTCCCTTCGAGATATCAATTTGAACTTCAATTTCGAACTTCAACCATTCAGATGAAATTGCATCCCTATGTCAATTTTCGGGATACCAATTTGGGAAACTTCATCCCTTCACTTGTAAACTTCATCCCTTAGTCAATTTGGAAATCTTATCCTCTTTGACTTTGCAAATTGCTTCCCTGGAAATCTCATCCCATAGTCAAATTGGAAAATCTTATCCTCTTTGACTTTGCAAATTGCTTCCCTGGAAATCTCATCCCATAGTCAAATTGGAAATCTCATCCCATTTGACTTTTCAAATTACATCCCTTCGGCCAAACCATCGCCTCACACTTTAACGGATGGAATTAAACTTGACTTCTTTAAAATATGTGGGATGTGAGATTCAAACCTATGACCTTGTACATAATATTTCAAACTTCTACCATCTCATCCATACAGCCTATTGGTTATCTTCTTGTTCCACTTGGTGTACTCCTTTCTTTCCATAGATGCTTGATCTTCAAGATAGCTTCATGCAAACTTCAAGTCACGTTCTTTCTTCTTCGGGATTTCTTGAGGGATTTTCTCAAATTTCATACGCATACATCTTCCTCTTCTGTTTGCCATTTTCTCTTGACAAATTCTTGATTTTTGGCTTGATATCTTCTTCATCCATTTCCTCAACTAATGAATTTATTTTTCCCTTTCTTGGTCTAAGACTCGACTAGTCTAATACAATAAAATTGGGGATCTACGAATTACAATATGGCTTATCAAAATCTATTACAATTTTTTCCTAACAATTTCCCCCCTTTTGATAATGTCATAACCTATACTCAAACATTGGCTTTAAGTCTTTGAAAAATATTTTTATTTTTACTCAATTTTATTTCGACAAAGCCAAGATGAGTTTGACAAAAATAATTCTAGGGAAAATAAAACTTTGTGAATTAATTTAGACAAGTCCTATACGCATCCTTGATTAATTTTTTTAATCAATTTTTATCTTTATCAAAATTTTGCATGCGTTTAACAACTCTTGTCTTTTGATTCACCAACTAATTACATGATAGCCAAAAAATAAATCATAAACAGACTTAGATCAGACCAAGGGAATTTTTATTCATATTAGTCGAAAGAGGAAATATTGTAGCTAGCCAAAATCATAGAAATTTAAAACATCATATTTCTTGAGGAATATATGCTTGATTACCTTCTGGGTTTCTTGACTCCCATGTCAGCTTTCAATATATCCTTGATATGTTCTCTCATCTTGCAGATATCATTCTTGAACTTCTCACATTCAAATTTCTTAGTCACATTCCCAGCCATGTAGTGTCCAAAGGCCTCTTTAATGTTGGTGCCCGGAAGAGCTCCGGCTTCCCACCAAATTATGCATTCTTCAAAGCTTCTTTGGAATCCCAGACTTTCACCATTATTCTTGGTATAGTCTCTGA